TCAGCCTCCCAAGTAGCTGGGACTACAGGCACCTGCCACAACACCAGGCTGTTTTTTAGAGACAGGATGTCGCTCTTGCCCAGGCTTGTTTTGAACCCATGAGCACAGGCTAGTCACCCACCTTGGCTTCCCAAGTGCTGGGATTACAGGCATAAGCTATCGCGCCCAGCCCCCCTCCCTTGTTTTAGACAAAGTCTCACTTTGTTGCCCCTGGTAGAGTGCCATGCATCATATAGCTCACAGAACCTCAGATTCTCAGACTCCTGGTCTCTTGCTTCAGCCTCCCTAGTAGCTGGGATTACAGGCATTTGCCACAGTGCTCAGCTATTTTTAGAGGGAAGGTCTCACTCTAGCTCAGGCTGGTCTCAAACTGGTGAGCTCAGGTGATCCACCTGTCTCAGCCTCCAAGAGTGTTGGCATTACAGGCATGAGCCACTGTGCCAAGCCCCAGAACTTGATTTTTAGACTTGAAATATTTTGCCAGTCTGATTGTTCTAAGATATTTACTTGTTCTCACTGTTTTTCTAAGATATTTACCTGTTCTCTTTGATGTATTTGTAAGATTGCTTTGATAGTAGCAAATGTCTTTATATGTAGGTCTCTGTTGCATTCCAGTAGTCAGTTTGTTCCCTTGCTCCTTAATGTCATACTGGTTTTTATTACTGGTGTTGCTTTTTTTAAGAGATAGATCTGGCTGTGTTGCCCAGGCTGGACTCTCTACAAAGGTCACACTGTTCTTGACTTCTGTGGCTTTAGAGTAAGTTCTGACATCCGGGCAAGATATCCCTCTTCCTCCTCCTTTTTCTTAAGAAGTTTGGTGATTTTTTTCCATAAACGTCTTACACGGTTGTTGTTGTGTTTTAGGGGGGTTTTTTGAGACAGTCTCACTTTGTCACCCTCAGTAGAGTGCTATGGCACCATAGCTCACAGCAACTTCAAACTCTTGGGCTCAAGAGATTCTCTTGCCTCAGCCTCCCAAGTAGCTGGGACTACAGGCATCCGCCACAACACCCAGCTGTTTTTAGAGACAGGGTCTTGCTCTGGCTCAGGCAATCCACCTGCCTCGGCCGCCCAGAGTGCTAGGATTACAGGCATGAGTCACCGTGCCCAGCCATCTTACACAGTTTTTAGTAGATTTATTTATAGGTGTCTTGTCTTCTTTGTTACTACTATGAAAAATATTTGTCTAATTTCTGTTTTTATTTTTCATTA